TCGACCTCGTACCATCGAATAAAGCTAATTACTCTTTTATCGTCGTTTGTTATTTGAGAATTTTGTAAATGCATGCGTGTATCTAAGCGTACAATGTTTAAAAATATTTATTTATAATTCGGCTTAATCAAAAATTAATATATATTTTGTAAACTTAATCAAATCAGATAATTAAATGATATATTAAAAATCGTTGATATATCATTATTATGTTATTATTTAACTTTAAATCTCAAAAAATTTGTTTTTCATTTTTTTTCTTTATTTTAATGAAGAAAGAAAATATATATATTTTTTCAAATTATATCCTATTTTGAATTACAAAAATATAATCAAAAATATATAATTAAATTGTCGTATAGTTATCACAACTAATAATAATTTTATTATAAAAAATTATGAATGTATAAAGTATGATAGATTACATAGCATGAAACAATTCTTTTAATAGATTATCATTTCAAGGAAATGAAATTAACATTATAGTTTTTTTTTTTCAATATCTTTTTCTTTTTAAATATAACATTATGATTATATAAAGTAAGATTTAAAATAATAAAAAGATCTGGCTGCACTGCGAGAAATATTACAAGCAAAATTATAATCAAAAAATAAAAAAAATGATTTTTTTGAAAATGAAAATTTATAAATTGTTTTCATATATTCAAAGAAATTTAAAAAAAAATGTATAATCCATTAATGTTCTATATATTTATAAACTTCCATTAAAATTTACAAATTGGATGAATTTTCTTATAAAATAATATGAAAAACTTTTGATTGATTAAAATATACCATATTTTTAAAATTTATTATTTTTGAAATTTAATATTATTATATAAATAAATACTTTATTTATTATTTTATTACTTTATTTTATCAAACTTTAATTTTTAAACTTAATGTTAATATTAACTTTTATTATTATAATATCATTATTATTTACGATATCGATAAAATATAATATAATAAATATTATATTAATATTTCGATCTTGTCAATATATACTTGCTCAATATAAATTAAATGCGATTTCTTTTTTTTTTTCTTAAATAATTTAATAACGCAAAGATCTGAAAGATTTATTAGTATAATAAATAATAAATAAAGCAATTAAATATTAGAGTGTAAATATTAAATGTACATAATGTTTTTGTTGTATTTCATTAATCAAAAATATAATTTTCAATATCTCATCATATGAGTGAAAATCTAAAAAGTTACAAATATTAAATTTTTATTAAAAAAAGACATTGAATAATGTTTGTGTTCTACAGTATTAAATAATTTAATATCAATTCTTCCTTAAAAATGGTATTTACAAGAAGAGAACAAAAAACTATTGTTATATTTTTCTTCAAAGACGGCGATCACTCGTTTTCCTTTGTTCGCGACGGGAACCAGACATTTTCGCAATCACATCGATGGTTCGCGCGTGCAACTCGATTATTCGTCCGCGTTTCGCTGAAAAATACAGAAACAAACGGCACTGAGATAACCGACCGCGAACAAGAGATAACGGAAACGAAAGAAGAGACTGAAGAACACGCGGGTAGATGACTTAGTGAACTGCATACAACACGAACTGCCACCGATATAGTAACGTCATTCATCGTGAAATATGGGAAATGAACGACTTATCTGTCGACAAGAATAATGTTCTGTCTTTCTTTTCATAAGCGTTACGATGAAACAAAAGAATCATCTTCAAAACGAAATGGGAAAATTCGGCGAACTTCTTCGACTTGGCATTTGTTTCGAGAATTTGATTTATATGTGCAGACAATGATTTGATTTATAAATTAAACATAACATACCTGAAAATGAGACATTGCGTTCTTATGAAATATAAATATCTACATATATTCTAAAGATCCAAAAAAGAATTTTTCATACAAGGATGGTCTGGAAATAGATTTCTCATAGAAAAATAGGAAATAGATTTCATCATTGAAAATTATGAAAAAAATTATAAAAAGATTTTTTTAATATTTATATCGATCATAATTCTATGTCTTATTATCATTTCAATAAAACATTTTTTCATAATTTATTTTCTCATATTATAATTTAGAGCAATAACATAACCTAATATAACCTAATAATAATAATAATAATAATAATAATAATATTTCAAAGGCAACTGTTAATAATACATATCAAGAATAGTACAAATTACATTATTCTATCTATCTCAAAATAATCAAGAAATCTTTCTTTGAAACAAATAAAATCAACAAGATTTCAAAAAATACTTTGTGATTGATTGTTCATTCGAGATAAATATTTACTTAGAAGCAAATCGACAAAGACTACAATTTTGTTGCGGCCTCAATTCATCGAGGGCGGTAGAATCGATTGAATGGCCATCGCTGGAATCCTTTTAGAACGCGATATATTTTACTCTTTTTCCGCTCTCAAAAATAGAGCTTCCAAGAACCGAATAGATAAATATTTTTCCACGTTTCAAGCCGATTGGAAGTCGATTCGTCTAATAATTGCCATTATATCAAGCACGATAATTCTTAAAGAAGTGATTGATCTTAATCTTTTTTAAGTGTCAAATTTCTGGCGATCAGGTTGGGATAGATTTGATTATCGATATCGTTCATAAGCTCGTTTAAATTGGACCATCATAGAGGACACTTCGTTTGTTTTTTGTGTGATTGGCAAGACGCCACGGGAAATACAATACATTTTTTATCGTCGTAATAACACTCAAGTTGAGATTTTCTTGTTTAAGACATTGATTTTCAAATGGAAAAAATTTCCACGAATCAATACAAAAATTTTTGTTTTAAATTTGAATACGAATTTTATTTAAAATGAAAATAAAAAATACCTAATTTAATCAGTTTCAACTGAATTATTATTCTTATTTTTTATTAGAAATAAATTATTTATGTTTTATAATAAAATAATCATTGTTAAATAATGTAATTTCCAGTTAAATAAAATGTTATCTGTATAATTATTTTTTAACATTTTACATATAAATATGCGTAATGACTTTAGTTTATTTGAAAAACTAGAATGATGTGAAACCTATTTACATAAATAAAATTTTTATTATGCTAAATACTTAATGAATTTTTTATGTCAATTATAATAATTTACATTGTTTGTATCGTTTATTTTTGGAATATTTTACTTTGCAATATTTTACTTCACATTTATTGAATGTTTTTATTGAATTTTTTGAATTTTAAATATTGTTAACAAAGAATTAGCAATGTAAATTGATTAAATTTCAATTTAATTTGTCGAAGAATTTTCTATTACGAATTCAAAAAGCGTTTGAAAGGTTTTAAGCTCTTTGTTTTATAAATAAATGTTTAACATATTTTGTTATACGTCATTGTACATTAAAAGAGCAATGTTTAAACAAACTATGTATGAAACATGAAGTTCTTTGTTACAAAAATAATTGCTTAAGTATTCTGCGAGTTAAAAAGTTTTTGATTGAACAAAGTTGAAAAGATAATCGTTTTAATATTCTAATATTTACATAATATGTATATTTATATGATTTTCAAGCAATTCTAATGAAATTTTATTTAAAAGAATCAAATATTCCATATTATAAATATAACTATATAAATATTGAATTTTTACAAATAGCAATTAAATAAAAATTCAATTTAATAAAACTCAATCCTTTTATTACAGAAATAATAATTATTAGCTTAGTCTAATTTATAAATATGGAATTTGAACAAAGTAAAATTTCATTTTATTTATGATTCTTAAATTGTTCGTTTTCTACGAAAACAGGAGAGTAAAAATCATCGAATTTCAAAGTGATTCTCCTCACTCAAAAATACGAGAACAATATTTGAAACCAAACAACCGTCGCATACTGACCATATCTTAATTCATTTCGCACATTCGTATTATGAAAGTAGTATGGATTGGGTCTAAAGTTCAATCAACACACACATACATAAGCTCTACCGGCGTGAATCACGAAAAATTGTCATCGTTAAGTGACGCGACGTCAATAGTAAAACGCGATAAAAAATGTCCACGAATCAATGCAAAATTACGAAACCTCTCGATTTCAATAAAAAAAAAATATTTTTCTCTAGATAAAAATATTGCATTTAAGGTTAAAATATACGTATGACATTTAACATTGAATGCTATTCTTTAATGACATGTTCCACGAATTATTTGTAGAAATTTATTTTTAAAAATTATCCATTAAATAATAAAGTTTATGATTGAATTATGTAAAAATTTTATTAAGGAATAAATTGATTTATATCACTACTATATTAATTTTTATTTTCTTTCTATTGAAATACAAACGTATAGCAATGTTATTAAATAATTAATTTTGTATATAAATCGTAACTTATTTAATACAGATTTAGATATATTTAATAGAATAATATATTAATTTCTTGAAATTTATATAAATATTTTTATTACATATCATTTCATTGAAAAATAGTTTTTATGAATGTAATGCGCATGCGTAGAATGCACGTGTATATTAAACACAATATATTCGGCTATGTGCGCGCATGCATGTATATTGCATATTTATGAATAACTACATGCAGAAATCACGTGTATGTTTTCGACTTTATAAATTTGTAAAGAGAAATTTTATTAATCAATTTTATCAATGAAAATCGATACAAAACAATTTAACATTAATATAATCGAAAAGTAAACATATTAATTATGTTAACAAAAATGTATTATACGATCAAAGTAAAACATTGTTGTTTTATATATATCTTTTTGCATGAAAATATAAAAACAATATTATGAAACTAAGACTATATTTTAATGTATACAAATTTGATTTATATAATTTTTAATTTTTTATTTTATAAAATAACTAAATATTCGCATATCATAATAAAAATCAGTATTTATTTATAAGTTAATTTCACAAGGATTGCTATTAATATAAATCGCGAAAAACAAAATATGTATTCTATATGCGCGTATAGAGAATAACAGTTACAAAAAGAATAAAAGTTTACCTTTGAACGTATTCCGGACGAGAGTCATGCTCATATTCGCGTGAGCGCGAGCCAATGCTCCCTGAGGTACGTCTTGCGTTTCTTCGACGATTCCGCCAGGTTGAATAATTCTATAGCCGCAGCACGTCTTGTGATCCCGCTCAAGAATTCGTCCAGCGTGATCTGTGACGTATCAAGGTACAGCAACGCATGGTTGTACTACTTCCCGTTTTTCTGTTGAATCGATCGATAAATAGGTTGTCGATACGAAGTAATCGCCTGGTCTCGTATCGGAGAACATAGATACGAAATACAGGTCTTAACGTCCGTTCGTGCAACAGTTTAATGATGAAACAACAGAGAAAAATAGTCAGCACGATGCGTCGTGTGCTTTCGAAACAACAAATCCAAATGTTATTTCACATCCACCGTTCCAGTGCACATTTGTTTAATGTCATCTCTTGTTCTGTCTTTCGTTTGCTTTTAGGTTACGTACAGTTATGACCGGTTGCTTCGTATATATATAAGAATCAAGTGAATATTATCGTTGCGTCTTCATCACCGATGATTGAGTATCGGTATTCAGATATCCATATACCGGTGAACGGCTCAAATCATATGACAAGCACAAATGATCAGCATTTGTTGCGACCGCAATCATTAAAAGCAATCGTATCACCGCGCGCACAACGAGTTCAACGAAACACAGGAATGTTGATCACGTTTCTTCTCTTTAATGCGAAATAGACGAATAAGCCAAGTTTTAAATATGAAAGAGACAGAAAAGGAGCGATAAAGTGATAATAGGGACAGAGGTGAGAGGTAGTGAAGAGAGCAGCCAAAAGATGAGGGAAAGAGAGAGGTTATGTGCAGACGACGACAGGAGAAATTCCAGCGGGCGGCAGCGCTGAGGTCCACGGATAGTTCATTCGTTCCTTCGTTCCCCTCGTCCGATAAGTGACGATGATTCGAGAGAACCGATTGGGTGGGACGCGTTTTAGTCTTGTTGGATTTTCGATGTCCGTTTCGTCGTATATGTCAAAGGTCGATAATTACGACAATCTTTTTGAGACTTTTTGAAGGATTTTTTAAACGGAAGAATAGATAATGAAATTTTATTTATTTCTTTTACATCCTCAAGTATAGCATGCTTTATCGTATGTAGATTTATTTAATTTCGCGTCCATACAAAAAAATCTTCTTTTGATTATCCTTTTGTGTTGATTCTTCTCGCTCGTTGTTTGAAAAATTGCTCAGATGTCACAAACAAGTATCGAAGAACGAATATAATATGGTGCGATACACTAAGGATTTCCTAACTAATTACACTATACACTCTCTCTTAATAAACCAAGATAAACGAAAAGAACAACGAAAACTAGAGGAAAGCAGCGTGCACTAGTTATATCCTTGGAAACGATTTGTGCAAAAAGCGATATGCTGCTCTTCTTCTGCCGCTTCCTCCTCCACCGCCTTTTCCTTTTCTACCGATTCTTTTCATTCGCGTACGCGTTTTCCCACGCACCGAAGCAAAAAACACACACTTACGGAGGCAGACTGGAGGGAAAGAATAGCGGGAAAAAGACGGAGAGAAGAAAGGAACGAGGGAAGTGCGATGGTAATCGGGAGCTGATGCTAGGGCATCGTAGAGAGCGGGCAAGGCAGAAATGTCGGTGTTACTACCAACTTGGAGTAGCAAGCACCGGTAAAACACGGTCCTAACTAACACACATGGAGACAGATTGGGGACTGCTGCTTCGGAGTTTACTATAGGATGGGACGGATGGTGATGGCGGCCGTAGCAGAGCAGCCACCGCCCCCATGCTTCTTCTCTCTCTCTTCGTCTCCCTCGTCTGATTCGAACGCCCCCACCACTAGATCTCTTTGCTACTTCCCTCCACTCTCTACTTCTCTCCGTAACCGTCCCAACTGTTCTCCTATTCTCCCCTCTATGCGTTATGATGGACACGCTGGAACTCCCCTCCTCAACATCTAACTCACCCCCTTTCTCTCCCACTCTCTTACGTTTCTCTCTACTTACATACATTTCCTCCTCTTCCTCTTGCTCTCCACAGGTTTGCTCGCCTTCCCTGGGCTATGAGATGTTATTCTCAAGCGATTCGTGCATACTATATATTCGTCTACCCGTGTCGTCGCCACATCCCCTACCTGCGTCGCATCTCGGCGTGTGCGTTGGCCGCAATCAAGGTCAGGAATGTAACCAGCCAACTACGGCGCCCTACGCTATCGATTCTGTCATAAATTTCTTGATAATAACACAAATGGAGTAGCTAGAAGAAACTTATAATTGTGTATATTGTTTTTACTAATGTAATAATTTATGAATGCGATGAAGTTTCTTATCGTAGTTCATTCGTTCACCGGAAACCTGGTATCTTTTGGCTCATTGGCTCATGGACGTGATTGCCTCGTTATTTATCTACTGAAAGGAAGGATGCGTGTTGCGTCGATATTGTATTTTCTTCTATATGACTTCCTCTTCACGTGTTCTGAATGCGCATCCTCGAAGATACTTCTCTGAAATACTGCTCGAATAGGATGTGTAAATCTACGAGAATGTTGCCATCAAGTATATTCACGTCAAATAAATTTCCGTAGCTATTTCGTAAAGGAAAATAGCTTTCAAAGAAAATAAAAATAAATGATGAAAATATTTTTTAACGTAAGAAATTTTTTTTTTTTTAATCTTATAAAGTGATTTATCAAACAGATTTTCAGTTTATGAATTGAAAAGTATAAGATGTTTTGCAATCATGACTCGAATACCTCGAACTCAACTCGGAAACGAGATAACGTTCGGTAGCGCGTGCGGTTATCTTCGTCGATTCCCTTGACTTTTCACCGACATGAGGTATGTAATACATTTTAAAGTAGACAAGAAGCTCTTATTTGCGATGCAACCTAACGACAATACAATGATATCAATAAAATTTTCCATTCGTTCTTCATCCCATTAAGAATAGTAACCAATGATAAACGATCAAATAAACATTCTAACAAAATATATTTAATATTACTTTAATATTACTAATATCTAATATTACTTAATAAATAAATGAATTACGAAAATTACGAAACATTGATCAATAAATTAATAATGCTAATAATAAATGTATTAAATCGATTATTAAATCAATAATCAATTTAAAATAGAAATTATCCATTTAATATTCTACAATTTTTTGCATTGATCATTGTTTTCTTTAAATTTTGTTTTCTAAGAACCAAATAAATCTGTAGTTATGTCAAGAAGGAAAGGACACAAGAAAGTGAAGTTAACTTAGCATGGAGAGCTACAAGTTAGCTTATCATTGAAATTACGATATTGACGGTTAATGTATATGTATAGCCGCGACGAAAGCAGAGACGGCAAGCAGTGGCGGCAGTGTCCGATACTATTATTAGTGTGCAGCTGCCTGCGAATTACTGAATGAAAGGGAAGGACCGCTTCGAAACAATATCCGAAAGAGACGGGAGGCACGTTGCATCGTTTAACCGACAGTCATCCAATGATTATTTAGAGCCAGATATACGCATGTGTGCGCTATCCAACGAAAATCGCACGAAAATCGTACATCATGGTCATGAATTAATTTCTAAATTAATGCATATTTCTTCATACTGGATTTAATTGAACTTGAAAAATTCTTGAATTGATTGATATGAATACAAAATTTATTATTTATTGAAAACCGTGATATATTATTTTCAAAGTTATCTATTATATATTCGAATTTGCATATTGGTATTACAAGAAGTATAGGCAATTTTTAGTATCATTAGCTGCTTTGAAAGCGAAAGAATAGTCCGACATGGAATCTTCTCTGATGACTATAAACGTTGATTCACATACGAGGAGAGAATTGTTTGTGAAATTAATTTGTGAGATGGTCGTACATCTATTTTAGTCCCGAGTCATATGGAAGAATAAACATATATATGTATATGTTATGTATACATATACTTTGGACTCGAGAGGATTGGAACAACTTGAGAAAAATCTTCTGAATAATTTGTATGTACTTTTTTCATTAGTATTATATTATTATTGTATATTAATTATATATTGTTATATAATTTTAATATAAAAAATTATTTAAATTTCTTACTTTTTTTATAAATTTATAAATTTTATATAAAAATTGCTAATCTTAGTCTTGAGAAAACTAAAGAAATAATTATTAATAATAGAAGACAAATAAAAAGAGATTGTATATAATTTTCTTGTGTTCAAGTGTTAAACGAGAAGCGTCGGACTGCAATCGTTTAAAGCTGACTTATATATCAGCGAAAGCATAGTCGGACCATCTCCATTCAACGAGTACTGGCAATTAGAGCCAATAGTTGCTGACCCTTTCTCCCAAAGGTCTTGTCTCGAGGTGTTGAATTTCTTGGTATCTCATCAATTGAACCTCCTCATTCCAGTATTTTAACAGAATACTCTAAGAACTCTTTTAATTACCTATTTTATTATCAATTTTCTAAAACTATGATGATTATCTCGAATTTTGCCAAAACAATTCCTAAAAAAAGGTTATCAATAACAAGTACAATAATTTCTTAATTTCTTTTAAATTCTCTTTCAAAAATTGTTCGACTTCTTATATTCATTTCTTAATTGAAAGTGTTATAGAATAGAGATTGTCGTTATCCTAATGATAAGAAATCAGTCCAAACATAAGATCTCCTTTCGTGGATACGGTACTGCACGATCTCTGGCGTGGCGGGTCCAGCAATGACGCGGAGATCACCGAGCGTGTCCGAATTCGGCCGATGTTAATCGAGTGGGAGTTGAATGTACTATGTAGTGGGGGTAACGCGTCTTCTTCGAAGGGGAATTCCCCGATGCTGGTGCGGTGTGGTGACCACACCGTGTCCCTTTTTGTTGCCGCCCATTAGGCGCCACCGCGGCGTGATTCGCAACCGTGTTTCTTTATCTTTGCTGTAGCTAGAGTCTGCAAACGTAACCGATTGCACGCGTTCTTTCCTATCTTTTCACCCTGTCTTTTTTCTATCCTTCCTCCCTTCGGACAATAGCAGAGTGATTCACCGGGCATAGGTACGATGTTTCTCTGTATATATGCGCGGAGATAAGTCGCCGCGTGCCACGTTTCGAGTTCCGCCTCTCCCCACGCATTATGATCGTGTTTCGACTTTTGAATTGTAGATAAAAATATAGAAACTGTTCTGAGAAGTATTTAGGCTTAAAACTTAGGAAGGAATTCCCTTTATGACAAAGTGAAGAACATTTATAAAGATATTTTAGAGGATATTTCTGTTTTTTATTATTGGTTTGTAAGAATTTATTTCTGAAAAATGTACCTTTCTTTGTTGTTTAAAGTTTATAATATAGATCTCTTTTTTTTTTAAACGACACTTAGGACTAGACTTCGAGATTTATCTCGCTTATCACGTCTTGAAGATTAATATCTTTTAACTGAGTACTATCATTGTCCTCGAAAGCTTTTATCTTGAGTTATAAATTAATCGACAATGATAGGAATAATAAACGTCCGACGCGAACGTTTTTTTCCCGTTTGGTCCGCTCCAATTGAAGATAATCTTTTTTTTATTCAATATTTTTTTTTACGAGTTCATTGAGCTATTGATCATATAGAATTCGATTTTTTATCTTTTATGGGTAGGAATGAGAGAATGTAACTACGCAGCGCAGATTAATTGGATAGAAAAGCTAGTCCATACTTTATTCGCTTATTGCAAGGAACATCGGTCAATCGTGTTTTATCAAAGATTGCTTTCTTTTTATCCAGATAACACGTGCCTTTGTGCTACCATCTTTCATGGATGACTGATGCGTTGGCTCGCCTTCTCGTTTTTTAGTTCATACATCGATGAGTTCATTGCGACGGATTGAATTTTCTATGATTCATAATGCGCAAGATGATCGCGAATTTTAAATTATTTATAAAATTCTTCGATAAATTAAATTTATGTTTCGAAATCATTATAATATTAATATTATAAAGTTGTGATTTCAAAATAATATTAATTCAAAGTTAATTTTTATTAAAATATTATATTATTATGTTGATAAAGATTTCAATTAAACATTTGAAAATTATAAAATACTCGACAATCATTTTCTTTTCTTTTTAATACTGTATTGATATTTCGAAAAAGGTGACTTATCATAAAATTGATGTTCTTATCGTTTCTCTTGGAAAACGTAATGTTTTTCTCTCTGACCCACTCAAATTTCATCGTATCTTACAACCTTTAGCCCGGCCACCTATACAAAACCGAACATAAATGCCAAGGTTCGACAATTTGTCAGAACGAATGGGGACTAGTGGTTGCATATACATATACTTGTGTATAGGGTGATTCATATGACTGTTTACGAAGCATGCATGCTCAATCTTGAAACCACAAGAAATATGAAAGATTAGTTTCAAGATTAGCAAAATATATAACTTCGAGTATAGATAATTAAGATAGATTTTTTCCTATTCAAATTTGTTTCGGCTTGATAATTCTTATCATTTGATTATCTTCCAAAGATTATTAAACTTAAACTAAATTCCATATATGATTTGCAAAATATATTTTTTTAAATTTTCCATATTAACTAGTACTTTTATTTTATCTTTATATTTTACTTTTATATAATAAAAACAATGAAAAATTATATATTCCATAAAATTAAATAATTCCTCTACAAATAAGAATATTTTTAAATGTAATTTTAAGAATTATTTTTCGATCAATCATTTGTATCAATTGTATTGTGATCTTATATACAATTTATATTTCAAATACATTTACAAAATTTCATTAATTCACCGAAACCT